GACTGTGCTGATGACTGACTTTGCTTGTAGCCTACTAGATTCCCGACATGTGAATATGCTGCTTTAATCAATACCTCACATCCTGGAAGACCTTTTTATTCTCAAAGCCACACAGACTAGTACAGGTCTGTGATGAAACACTTCCACATATTCTGAAACTACAGATTGTTAGCTTTCAAATGAGACCTTAAGGCAAAAAAAAAAGTGCCAGTGGAGAAATTGTGATGCAGTACCTTAAAGATTGCCTTTCCTGTTTAAGAAAACAAACGGCACACTGGTACCCCCCCCCCAGTGATGCAGCTGGTGCCCTTTTCCATTTTGAGACAGAGTCCGCCTCTGCACACAGCCTTAAATGTGATTATTTCAAATGAGTGATGTTGTCAGACTTTTAAAAAATTCCCAGAAGAGCCGGAGAAGAACGTATCGAATTATTTTCACGGGCAGTGAAGTTCTTTCCATGACTTGTAAACGGACTTTCCCCAGGTGGGAATGATGTGTGTGTTATTGATTTCCCCACTCCAACTCTGACAGTTCAACCTGTTGCTCAGTTATTGTTTATTAGGACGGACCTTATACTGAGTGTTGATCCAGAAAGTGTAGAGATATACAGGACCATGCAGCGTAATAAAGTATGTTTTTATTGGACTAAGAGGAGCTATGAGCTGCCAGTGCCACACTGTCTGTGTGGTTTGGCAGCAGTATCTTACAGACGGCGCTGCAGGATGTGTCTTTAAATCTCCTCCGTCTTTTAGATCAACCTGCAGCCGGTAGAGCTTTTCCACCCAGGCGAAGTGGTTTTATGTCACTTAGCTTAAAGACACTTGGTACCGACTGGCTAATCTGCAATCATGAAGACTGTCAACTTAAGATATTTAATGGTTTGTTTTACTGGTATATTAACTCTTGCCTTAAAGGACCAGCAGAACATTAAGGCACTCTTTCTATTATAGGCATTCCTCCTATTCTACACCGGCCGTTCTTTAATGAGTACGTCGGGGAATCTACGCTCCTCATTGAGCGTGAAATGCTTTTAAAAGCTTAGAGGAAGCAGAACTGATTGATGCTTTCTGTCTCTCAAATGTCAAAATCAAGGCAAGTTGAAGCCTTTTTTTGAGATCAACATTCAGCTTTATCTTAAAAAAAGATCCTTTGCTTAAGCGCAGATCAGCCTTGAGCTGCACAACAAACACACTCTGCAGCGCGATGTGTGAAAAGATCCCCCGCTGCGCCCCCCTGATGTGATGTGATGTGATCAGGAATGATGTGAAATGTGCCTACAAATTGTCAAAATTGATTGAACACTCGCCTGTTTCCTCCGTAGCTTGTTAGGTGTACGCACACGCTCACACACGCCTCGCACATACTCACACACACAGAACTTTATTGCTGTGACAGACGTTCAAAGAGCCAAGGATACAAGAAGGAGCCAGAGGGAGGGATTGATGAATCATAGCGCAGCAGGAGGAATTATTTATTATCTGATCATTTATCCCCAAGAGCTTACTGTGGAGGAAAACAGAACCACGGTCACAAAATCCACAAAGGATTTAAACATATTTACTCTCTGGTTATTTACTGTTCTTCACATCACCTGAATCCACACGGTCAGGGCTTTACAAAAAGATTCTCTAGCTAAGCCATTGAGGTCAAGATCTCTTTCACAAGGGGGGCCGGGCCAAGATGGCAGCAGCCAGGCCCGGTTCTACGAGGGTGCAAAAGGTTGCATTGCACCCTCGTTTTACATTTCTGCACCCTCAATTGAATGGACACAAAAAACTTAATTACAATAAGTAATCAAGGCTGTCAAATGACAACAGTGACTCAGATTGTGTTTATTACATCCATGATGTGATGGTCATGACAAGTGTACGTGACCTGGCTGTTCAACCGGGGACCACATGCAGGACCCTAATGTTGTAGTCTAGACCACAGTAACCGAGACCAAGACATACCCGAGACCAGAGTGATGCAAGACCGAGACATTTAGGGGTTCGAGACAAGACCAAGACCATAAATATCACTGAAAAGTCTTTATCTTGTGTGCAGCAGGCGTGTCACTCACCCGTAACACCGGGAAGGTTGCAGCCATAACCGAGGATTTAAATCAAATTACAAATGAATTTAAGTTGTTAGTTCTTTTAGAAAGGGGCGTTTTCCTTCTAATCGAAATAATGACGTGGAAAAACAGGTCTTGACCGGTCTTGATTTAAAATCCGGAGTGCCCCCAGTCTGAGACCGAGATCTTCAAAAAGTGGTCTTGAGACCAGGACTGATTTAGAGTACAGCACTTCAGGACCTTTAACACCTAGACCATTTTTCATTGCCGTTGCCGGTCACTGTCGCTGCACTCCCTGCACCCCAGGTCATTTAGTCTAGAGCCGGGCCTGGCAGCAGCACTCGCCATAATAAACATTACATGATAAGGAAACAGTGTAGAAGTTAAGAGCAACAACAATTACAATGTGCACATTGGTCCACAGATACAGTGCAGAAGTTGTGATCCCAGATCGAGCCGGAGGCTTCAGGTGAAATGAGGTCTACAAGTTTTAAATCATTCTGGAGAAAGTTCCATGTAGAGGGGTTTGCAAAAACTAAAAAGCTTATATAAAAAATTAATCTATGCTAATGACATGACACTTTTAGAAGTTTAAAACCAAACCTTTAGGTGTTTATTTAGAAGAAGTTTGAGTTAAAGTTTGACTAGTTTGGAGGCCAATGAGTTACCCTCTTAAGGTTGATTTCCTTTTGATATGTAGATAGAAATGAAAGGAGATACGAGCAGTGCCGGGACCGCTCTTCAGATGCAGCTCTTGTCTTCGGGCAGAGAACTGTGTTGACTTGTCATCACGATGGCTCTGGTGACTTAATCCAGCAGAGCAGTCTCTTTTTGGCCGCTGGTACTGGAGCATGCACAAGAGACTGTTGTATTTCTGGAGTCTTGCATCAGAAGAAAAAATGGCGCATATAGCTCTCAAGCAAAGTTTACAACCACTGTGGAAGATCATACCAAGGGAAACACTTTAGAAAACATGTTTAATAATGCTTCTAATTATTACCACTTCTGGTCTCTGTAGGCGTTAAGGCTATGGAGTTACAATCCACTTGAAGGAATTATCCTGGCTCATTATAATTTGTGTCTAACACTTATAAAATAACGGCCAAATCTAAAGATATTTTAATAAACTCATTTGGCCAAATTGAGAAAAAGTATGAAGTCATTTGCACTACAATGCTTCACGGGGAGAAAGTCTTGTGTGGAGACTTTGAAAACTAAGTGTTTGGCTTTAATAAATGTTGTTGGCTGCTGTTTCTTTTCCTTTATACAGTACAGGAGTCACACATTGTAGCTTCCTTTTAACCAGGATCACAATCATTCAGTACTTTCTTTTACTTAAAGGCAGGGTTGGTTATTTTCTCCAGATACACTTTTAAAGATTTTGGTTGAACCTGCCTTTAGGTCCTGACAGAAATTAATAACTCATGTGCTCTGAAAAAGGAAAGAGGAAAATCTGTAGCAGTTGTAAGCGTGTAAACTTCAACCAATGTCTGCCACGAGGTACCAATCTGATGAACCAATCAGACGCCTCCCTGTCTCCCTGTTCGTTCTCTACACCTTGCGTGCAATAGCCCACACTCAAAGTGTGTCACAGACAAAGACGGAGTTTATACTTTGAGTTTACTTACCGATCAGCAGATGTCCACTTCTGGAGCAAAGGTGCTATGTGAATGTAGAGGGGCGTGGCTTTTGAGGGTGCCAATTTTGAATGCTACTTTCAAAATCTGAAAATTTACAACCCTGCTTTTAAGTCTGTAATTTAGTAGTGTTGTGGAAACCAAACCTTAAAGACCCAACAGAATTTGCATGTGCACATCCATCAATTTAACACAGGTTATGAGACAGCTGGCTTCTTAAAATAACATTTTAAAACATATCTGCACAATTGTTCCTCAAACTAAAGTGACACTTTTAAATATTTTCATGGCTTTATTATTTACCTGATTACTTTATAAAATTATTTTCTATTTTTGATATTGCTTCTTACACAGAGAGATGCTGTGTAAATATTCATTGTACCCTCTTACAGTGACAATAAAGTAAAAACTAGAACTGAAGTGTATTTTCCAAAATGTTGACTTCCTTTAATCGATTAGTTTTTGTGCACAAACCATTTTTAAAGAACCTACTGTTGCATGTCAGGAGAGTGTAGACATGTAAATGTTCCTTTTAAAGTGTTTTGAAGACTCACAAACACTCTTATCTGTCTCGTCTGTTATCTGTTTAATCTGTGAGCTTCTCGTTTCTTTGCCCCTTTAGAGTCTTTGCAGCGATACTCCCAGATCTTAGCAGTCCCCCTTAGCTGGTACAATGCCATCACAACCAATGGGAATGATGTCCAAAACAACCACACCAACAGCTGCAGAGTTATCCTCTAAGCTGGCACAAAGAGGTTTTAAGTGTTTACAGTATACGAGGTGCTTATGTCTCGGTGAGCTGCTCATTTAATAGCAGACTACAGGTGGGACGGCACCGTGTCCATTAAAGATTAATGTCCCCATTTGGTCACTGTGAATTGTACATCTGGCAGACAGTCGCTCTACCTCGCTCACCTCCTGTGGCTCATTACTAGTAAATCAACCTGTGGGCACCATGAGGGCTCTATACGCTGTAGATCCAAAATGGATGCTGGCTTTGTGACCTTTAGTATATTGAGCATTTACTTTTTGAATTAAACTGGAGCTGCTGAAGCTGCTCTCATGAAACAGAGAAAGTGTGCAGTAAGGAGATGGAAACTGAAAGTCTGCAGAATTACAGAAGCCATTTGTTCTTCTCCCTGTTGTGTGCATTGTCTGATCATTATGACAAGTTGTAAAATATTGGGAAAGTTTTTTCAGGTAAACAGGATTTACTCACTGTATGCTCCTCTTTATACCTACGAGGGAACACACAGTAGAAGACAGTGTGATTGATTTGCATATCTTTTGCTGTTTTTTTCTGGCAGAGGAAGCAGCAGTAAGCCCATCGAGAGGTTCTCTGAGGACATTGATGTGTTTCTTCATGTGGATGTTGTTTACCTTGCCTAACAACACCTGAGGCGCCCAGATCTGCTGTTTATCCCCCTGTGGGAGGTGTTGCAATACAGTTTGAAGGTACAGTGCTTCATATGCACTGCAGGCAGGTGTGTGAGTGTGTGTTTATGTTTGTGTACGGGTTCTATTCATGCACACTTTCTTACCAATTCAGCAACTATTTCCGTCTACCGTGTCTCACATTCTCCCTCTGTGACTAGCCGATAAGAAAACAGCTATAGTGACAGTGTTTCCAGAAACTGCCATTGTTTCCTGAGCCAGTGTTGAGGGGAGATTAAAAAATAATAAGTGGTGGAGCCATTAGAAACGTCGGCAGGCGGCTAAAGATTCATTCCGGTTGGTGGTTGAACTACCCAGCCTCTCTGCCGGGACTGATAAAGTTCTGCTGCTGGCAATCCCGCTCTCTATTTATGCACTTATGCTTACTCTGCTCTTCAGAGCTGAACATGGTGCGTTTTATAAAAAAAGGAGTATATGGACTTGTTGAAATGTTTGCTCTGCAGTTTATAGTATGTGCTTATAGTTGAAACGCTCCTCTGTGATGCCAGTCAAGCGTTCTATTTTTGTCCTGCACTTTACATGGAAAGAATCCTTTTTGAAACAACGGGTCTTCATTTTAATTGGAAGAACACACAAGCAGGCTTTTTTTTTTATTCCTAGCCCAAAACATCAGATGTTATCAGAAGAAATAGCTTGCAAACAAAGCTAATGCTAACACGTCCCTGGATGATTCTTTACTGTTAGCAGCTGATTCAAACTACAAACCTGCAAACAGGTATAAACTATGAACATGCCTTTATTTAGAGATAGGACAGTGGGCAGAGTCAGACCAAGAGAAAGTGTGGAAAGACATGCAGGAAAGGAGCCACAGGTCGGATTTGAACCCGGGCCACCCACTTGGAGGCGAATGGACTCCATGGGGCTTGCGCACTAACCACTAGGCTACTGGCGCCCACAAACGTGTGATTTTCAAAACACCTTCTTCGTTAAATAGAATTTAATTCCCATTGATATCGCAAAGTCTCACTGGAGGGAGCATATATAGAACGCTGTGTAGATGGAAATATTCATTCTGGCATATCAAATTCTTACTAGCTGCTGGTTATGAAGTTCTTACTGTGCAGGAGAGCAGAGGTCAAGCCCCCCCCAGCACCACAGGGCAATGTCGAGGGATGGAGATAGAAACACACAGGCATTCATCTTAACACTGATTTATTGAGGAGTAACCTCAGAGGTCAGCTGGTCAATAACTCTCTATTCCTTATGGTCCTGCACTCTGTGGTGGCTGCGTTCAATTTTTACCAACAAGAGAGAGAGGGTAAGGATGAAGAAGTACGGGCTAAGGTGATAGTGACATACATTTTCCTACAGTGCTGCAGCTTTCTTTAACAGTCTTCTTGTTGGTTCTATATTGCATTTCAATTTTTAGACTATAGAATTATGAAGGGAAAAAAGGGTTTTGTGCATTAATCTTTTAATTTCAAGTGCAGAGTTCAACTGGAGTTGCACAGTTCAAACGCTTTGTTTACTTTACGAGTTCAGTTACTTGCTTCAGCTTACCCACGCCACACCAAACAGGCTCATTTTCCGATAGCACACAAAACAAAACAAAAAATCTGTGTTTTTCCCCTGGAGTCTACAGAACTAAATGTGCCGCTAAATCTTTGGAACTTCAAAGCTGTTTTTTTTTTTTCCCTCTGCTCTCTTTGCCAGGGTCATCACAGATAGCCAACTCCTATCTGCCTCCCCAGGCAAGACTTAGAGCTTTAACTGTTGGTTTGTGGTTAGAGTTCAAAACTTGGCTCCAATATTCAGCCGGACCAGCAGCAGCTAAAGAAGAAGCAGCAGCAGAGGCGGAAAAAAAAAAAAAAACTACACACACATGAAAGCCGGGACAGAGAGAAAAATATGAAAAAGATATATATTGGCAAAACTGCCTTGAAAACACAGAGAAATGGTTGCAAACATCAGAAAAGAAGGTAAGATGAGTCATGCAGTGAGTGTTTTTTTTTTTACTTTTAACATCAGCCACATAATTATGGAATTCATTTCACTCATTTTACTAATGGAAATGGATTCTCTTTCATAGGTCATGACCATTAAAAAGCCATTAAAACATAAATGTAGCATCCATTCTTTCCCACCATTCATCTTCAAATCTCTTGTCATGTACCAGCTGACATCTACATCAAAGTTTACACCGCACGGCATTTTACCAACAAAAGTCATCCGGTTATTTGGGGGGGGGGGGGAAGTGTTAGCCTAAAAGAAATAATCAATGAGTGTGAGCTCAGAGTTAATTAAACTGGCATTACACACTGATAAGAGCCCAGAGCCATTTTCACATGTACTTACAATAGCTCTCTGGCTCGCTGCCATGTGATTTTACAACATCACTTGCAGCTGTTAGTCAGCGGCGAGGTTGTAAAGATTTTGTTTTGTTGTAGCGCCAGGCGGGCTGAGTGGGCTGAACCTGCAAGCCTCAGCATAATGGATACGAGACTCTTCAATGACTCATCTATCTGTCGAGAAAACATTCAATAAGGGAATATTTCAACGTTCTGGTGAATCAGCTTACTTGCTTTCCATAAGAGTTAGATTTAACAGCTCATATACGCTTAAAAATATCAGCTTCAGTAGCAGATTATAGCCCAGTTAGCGTGATATTGGCTGTGAGCACATGGTTGGGTTTGAGTCTTTGCGCGATAAGTTACCAAACTTGGAAAATCTCACTTTGACAAGTCTTTGAAACTCACCCCTAAAATGTGTCCCTGGCTTACATCTATTTTTTGTTCAGGTTAAAATAGCAACAGACAATATTTCAATTAGATAACTTTGGAGGTGTTGGTAGCCATGTTTTCCTACTTTGTATGAAACTACACTATACATGCGCTTCTGTCTTTAAGCTAGGCTAGCTAACGACCTACTGTCCTAGCACCGTAATGAACAGTTATACATTTTTAAATATACACCTTTTCACTCTTTTGGCTACACTTAAAGAAAATAAAAGGTTGAAACAGTTTCCATGTGTGTTCACAAAGTAGCTACAAAGCTAAGACTGGATTAGCTGAGTTTAAAAGCAACCCTGGATGTAAGTTGGTTGCCTTGCTCTCACCCAAATTCAAAAGTATCCTTACTAACTATAGACTGTAAATATTAATGGACGCAACCTGTGTGACGTCACCCATCTTTTACTGCAGGGGGGCTTTGGAGTTCCATCAGTGTCTGTGCAATGTTGGAAATCCTGTCTTACCCAAAACTTCAGTTAACCTAACGACAGGCTGAGAGCTGGAGCTGAGGCGGGTTTTAAACCTCCTGACAAACCGTTACATCGCACCCACCTGTCAATCATGTCAGCTACGGGCCTTATTGTGAATAACTATTATCCTTCATCAAATCAAAACGGATGATTTATCATAAAATTCACCCCCCGTACAGTGTTTGCTGATCATGACATGAGCTAATCACACCTATTTGTTTTTTGAACCAGGCTGTAAACATGTTAATTAATGCTGTAAAAAACGTCTTTTTTAGAATGCCTGTGTATGTGACTTTCGGTGCTCCTGCAGCCAGCCTCTAGTGGACACTTGAGGAACTGCAGGATTTTGCACTTCAGCATCGGCTTCATTTTTCAACACCAGAGGTTGCCGCTTCTTACCGACAAATAAAAAGCTTTTTAGTTTCTATAATCAGTACATACTGTAGACAATTATGTAAAAGTAGCACTAATGTGAATAATTCTGAGGCCTGTAATTTCAGTGTAGCAAATCTATTGCACTCCTAGCTGTTTTTTGTTGTTGTTTTTTTCGTCAACAACAAAAAAACAAAAAAAGGGATATAGCTCGTAACTTCCTGGAATACTAGCTTTGTGAGCATTTTCTGTCATTCATTCTGGACAGGAAAAATGTATTCCTGCTTCTAGTTGTATGCTAAGCTATCTAATTCTTAGCATGAGATTGACACCCAAATGTCAAACCCTGTCTTTAACAAACTGAAGGTGCAAGTCAACAGAAAAATGATCCTTTTAAAGGTTTTATATGTGATTTTTTGATCCAGCAGATGTCGCCCTTGAGCACCAGCATGAAACCAAAACAACTCGCGCCGCATTGTTGTGTTAGCATGCTAATGCTAGCGATCTTTATTATGCTCGTATCTTCACACTGCATGTAAATTTACCTGAAATGAGCGTGAGCTAGAAACACAGTTAAGCAGTGAGTACAGTATGTTATTCTTCTTTTCTCTAGTCCCTCAATTAAACAACTTTTATACACAAGGGGAGGAGTCAGCCGGCCGTCCTGGCGATGTAAACAAACTGAAGATAGGACTCTGAAAACTCTGAAAACATCACAGACAGTGGGACTCGGGTGTTACACCCATTGTAGACAGTCATGACTCACTGAGTTATTTTCAGAGGATATACTTGATTTATATTATATTTAAGTGTGAAAAATCAAATTTTTTACTTATTTAGTTTTTCTACTGAAATTCTGACACCTTAAGATAGATGCATACTTTTTAGCCAGAGTTTTCCCCCTAAGTATTATAAACATTAAGGGTAGTAAATTTCCCTACCCTTCTCTTGATACAGCACATTCTGTAAGTCTCTGTGTGGACACCATCTTCTCCTCCGTCCCCCGCCATGCTTCCTAACTAAGGGCTCTGGGCCGAAGTGAACTTGGAGGTGTTCTCAGTGTGCCTGCTGGTTGGCAGAGCTGAGCCATCGAAACCTCTCCGTGAGCCAAGTATCCATCAGTCTGGCAAAATGCTAAATCCCCCGGAGCGCGCACCATCCCCGCTTCCCATCTCCAGCCTTTCATTGCCACATCCATTCCCTCGCTCGGTGCTGTCGGTGTGTTCTCGTCCAACCACAATCAAACCTGCAACCAACATATTACTCTCTGCCTGGTGTGTTGATAAAAATCTGCTTTTAGGCCCCCCCCTCCCCTCTCTTTCTCGTGCTTCTGCTTCACTCTTTCACCCCATTTTCAAGCCTACTCACACACAAAGCCGTGGTCCACTCTATATTTTCACATCTTCTTCAATGAATCACACATGGTCTTTGTCTGGAGGCAGAAATCCTTTCCCGTTCTCTCCGAGATTCGATGAGGTGGTTGTGTAATGGAATTCACCATTACACCGGTGGGAGCTCCTTTTTCCCAGCTTCGCTCCCTGGATGTGAATGGGAAATGATTAGTATTCCTCCTCCATCCATCTCCACCTCCCTATCGGGCCTCACCACCTTACCCCATGCCCGGGACCTCTCTCCCTTCCAAAATGAATTACACTTCTGCTGCACTTCATCCCTTCCTCTCACACACAAACACACACACAGTTTACTTTCTTTTTTTTTCACTCCATTACGTTCTCGTTCTCTCTGTTTGTTTTCCTCTCTCTCTTTGCTGTCTCTGAAAAACTTTGGCAGAACATTAGTGTCGTGATTGTCTCTTCTCTAAACTTCTCTCTACTGCGTCTTCAGCTCTTTCCACGACCACAAGGACGACCTCCGTAAGCGCCTGTCGTACACCACCCACAAACTAGAGATGGTGGAGACGGAGTTCGATTCCACCCGGCAGTACCTGGAGACGGAGCTGCGGCGGGCCCAGGAGGAGCTGGAGAAATTCACAGAGAAACTACGCAGGTGTGTGTTTGCTCATGTGTGGCTTTTTCTGCATGCATTGAATGTCAATTCAGCACCAGAAGGAAACCCACTAGAGTTGTTTTCTTTAAAGCCCAGTTACCCATCAATGAATACAGGTTGATTTCACATTTCCACATTAGTATTGTCTGTAGTACAACTTGAGTTCCATGCAGCCTCAGAATTTTAAATCAAAGTTGCACGCTCTTGCCACCAAGTTTAAATCCGAATACAGAAAGTCTGTGCCAAAACACAGTTAAAGTTCCACATCCAATATTTGTTTTTACAAAATATTTACTCTGGTCCGACTTCATGATGGGTCTCACTCTGTTTTTTTTGTCTCAGCTTCATCCGTCGCAGTCCTCTTCTGTCTCTCAGCCTCAGCCATTGTATCAAACAGACACGAGCCAAGCTAGCTAACTGTCTTTTCTTTAGCTTTTTGGGCTCTGTATGCAGGGATTTAAAGTTCTCCGTCGCTGCGGCCGATTTCCGTAAATTTCATGATTTTGATATTTTTAGTCGTGTCAATCAGAAAGTCGAGCAGAATGTGGGTTAGTGACAGACCTTCACGTGCAAACGGCTGTCTTTAATGTCAGGCATTTATCTGAACCATGTAACATACGTGTAGTTTGCGTTTGTGTGACGTGAAGTCCGCTCGGCTTTTATTTTGGAGGCTACTTTATTTATAGATACTGTAGGTTGATAGAGTCAGAAATTGAGGAGAGAGAGAGAGAGAGAGGGGAATGATATGCGGGAAAGGAGCCACAGGCCGGAATCAAACCCGGGTCGCCCGCTTGGTGGAGCCTTCGTTCATGGAGTGCTTGCATTAACAGATCCAAAGGGAGTTCAACTTAACTCTCTTTTTTTAGAGAGTCATTATGCTTTTTAAACTCACTGTAAAGAATCCTCCGGTAACAGACTTTCTCTTCAGACTTCTGGACTTATTAACCTAATTGGATATTTCTGTTTTTCTCACGATGTCAGCAGAACCAAATGAGCTTATTTCTGTCGTCGTCTGATCGGACGATTAAATATTCCTTCATGTAGATGTTTGCTATTTTTATTTCAACTCATGACACTTCCTGAAAACTTTCTCTGGCAGGAAACTTGGAAACTTGGAAAGCAGACAGAACGGCCACCTGTCTGGTCCTCTCAGGAAATGCACACATTTAATTATTAATTATAATTGGCAGGACCAAGACCCAACTGCTTTTAGTTTGAACTAGTAGGGAGAACAGAAAGTACTTGCCGGACAAACTTAGTTCTTAAAGAAATGGTGGCACTAACTATGACTGGTTTATTTTGTGCATCAATCAGTAATGGTCGCTCCTCTGGTGCGTCCTCCCCCCTCGTAAATCTCGCTCAGGGTTTTTTGATTTGTCTTTGCTTTTTTGTCTCCTCTGCCAGCACTCTCCGTGTCTGTCTGCTTAATGGAGCCATAAATGCTGCTTTATCAACACTGTGCGAGGGCCTGAGAGAGCTAATGTGAGAATGTGACAGTGAGCAGAGAGGTGACGTGATAAAACAGCAGAAACAAGGGAACAAATAGAGAGTCAGGGCCCTGCTCCATTATACGCTCACTAATGCACTGGAAGTCTACCAAAGATCAATAAAGACATGAGAGATGAAAGGAGATTTAAAAAAAAAAAAGAAAAAAAGAGGACAAGGTTATGAAGACAAACATTTTCAAAATAAAAACACGCTAAAAAAAAGCTTCAGCGTGTTGGTTTTGCAGATGCCGAGTCGTTGCTACGCGTCTTCTCGTGCATGTTTACTGATTTCCTCTTCATAAAATATTCAAGGATTTAAAGTTTTATTTTATGATCACATCTCCTGTAGTGCTAAACATATCATAGACTCTTTTTTTCTGTTTTGGCTCAGCAGATTTTCCTCCTGAGTGATCTTCAAATCCGAGTCAGAACTTAAAAATATCCTGCAAATCCCCTCCGAGGTTCTTCTATCAGTGCCCTAATCTCATCATTTATTTATTTCCCTGCCTAAGTTTAACGAGAGATTACTGCCGCTTGTTTAGCTGCAAAAAAGTAAACATTTACTTTTTTTAGTCATCGTGTGAGATTTACCCCCTTTTTTTGTTTTTTTTGGTTTCATAGTCTGTAATTCATTTCCTGTTGCTTTAGGATCCAGAGCAGCTATGCGGCTCTTCAGAGGATCAACCAGGATTTGGAGGACAAGATGCACCGGACGGTAAGAGACTCACACCCAGCTTTTTTTGTTGTTTTTAACCCGAATGTCAGTAACTAAAGAGCTTAGCTGATGATCCAAAACAAAAACCCCGGTATTAACATGTTTGTTTTGCAAACTCAGCAACCTTTCCCTGACATTCACTTTCTCACCGACTCATTTTGAGTCTTTCCACATTTCTGAAACTGTCCTGAAGTGCTCTCTTGTTTATGGAGGAGAGAAGGAAGGTGCAGGTTGAAGAGGGTTATATCTGTTGTATATCTTGTGGCTCGGTGATAGAGGGAGGTCGTCTCTCAGCCGGAAGGTCGGGGGGTTCGATCCCCAGGCTTCCTCTCTGATGGCGTGTGAATGTGTGTTAGTTAGACACTTTACATGGCATGTATAATGATTTGTTATCATCATTTAATGATTTTTTCAAAAGGATAATCAAGTTGAATTAGGCTCCGTATCACTTGGCTGTGCAGGAAAGTCATGAGATTCATATATGTTAAACAAATTAGCACATGACGGCATCAAGATGAATCACTTGTTAAGTTATATTAACATGTTAACGTTGTCTAATTCAGTATTGAATGAACCGGGGGGGGGGGGGGGGGGGGCAGTACAGTGTGCAAAAGCCATTTTTTTCCATCAACAACACCAGCTTGTGATAGGCTGCGAGCACAGGACCAAAGATGTTCTATTAAACAGGAGCGCTCTGCTCTGCCACACTTTGCTGTGGCAACAATGACAATCATTGTCATCATAAGTCCCGGCCCCCCCTGTTTATAAATGTATCTTTTAATTGTAAATAGAACTGATTCGCAGTCCAGTCTGATGTCATCCACAGGCCGGAGTTGGCCCCTGGGCCGCCAGTTGAATACAGTAGGCCTGCTCTATAGGCTGTGGCTCAGTTGGTTGGGAGTTCGATCCCCAGCTCCTGCAGCCACATGTCCGATGTGTCCTCGCGCAAGACACTTAACCACAAGTTGCTCCCACTGCTTCGTCGGTGGCGTATTAATGTGCAGCCAGCTTGGAGGACTATAGCCTCTGTACATGGGGCGCAACCTAACCGCTAGGTCATCAGCGGAAAATTGAAAAACAAGAAAGTGATGCTTAACACTCAATCCTTCAGTGATTACAATCCACTTGAAGAATATGTTATGATATTAACTTCTGACACGGGCCACTCTGCATAATGAGAGCTCCTACTGATGATACTTGAAGCACATTTTGGTGCTAATAACAACTTTTAGTCGGGCACAATTTTGCAAGCAGGACATTTCCTCTGAAGAGTGAGCACTTTTCTTTTGAGTCTTTCCGACTTGTTATGATGATGTGATGTGTCTTTGTTTTCCACTAAGTGAGGGTCACAGATTTTAACAGCCCTCTTTCACTCTTAGTCATCCTCCGAGCGACACCTCAGTCTAACAACTTTCTCCACAGTGTCTCTTCATTTCCACTCCTTTAGCTTGAACATTTCCTGACTGCTGCAGCTGTTTGTATTCATTTAAGCAAGAACTGTAGAATCTTAATGGTGTCTGTAGCACTGAGTTCCCACTGAGACTCTCATAAAACATGTATAAAGGTGATGGGGATTTGTGAACTAAGCCACACACACACACACACCCACACACACATACACACACACACCCACACACCAACACACACACACCTACCCACACACACACACACAGAGCTAAACAGCTTGTGACCCAAAGTTTGAACTTGAATCATTTGTTCCTGCAGTTACTAAGCAACCTTCACTTATAGTTTGTGTTTCTTTCTTAAATTGCTCAAGCTGTTGAACATTAACAGTCGAGGGAAGTTGATATCCAGCAGCGAGTTATGACCTGAACTCGGCACTTTGTAAAGTGTACAATACGTTCAGTTAAATCCAAGAGAAAAATAGACTTTAAATCCGGTATAATAAGAGTCACAACAGGTCAAATTTGAAAAGAAGCTTCAACAAAAACACAAAAGTAGTAAATACAAGAGTCAAAAGTTAAGAAAGAATTCTGAATAACTATAATTACCTATTGCAATTTGTTATTCTAATGATGTTCTTTAGAAACACCTGGGAAGCTTGATGATGCTGCAGGTTTATTTTATGAATCTAAACTTAGAAGGAGGACATACTGGTTGCTGCGTTGTGGAGAATCCAGCACTTCAACATGGCATTTGTCCTTAGTCTCTGATGATTTAGTAAGGTCATTCTATCATTTAGTTCAGTAGATATCTTGCTATAACATTGCTCCTTTAAAGCATCCACCAAATGCAGTGTAATGTAATCTGCACCCAGATCAATGATTGTATTAAGTGTTTAAAATCATGCTGAAAATTCTCAACCTCTTTTAAAAGTAATATGATGAAAAGAGAAAGAGTGGAGGCAGGAAGAGAGACAACACACAGACAAATACGCCCTCTTCAGATCCACCAACACAGCAATTATGAGGAATGATATCATGTTAAACTTTGGTCTTTATAAAACTAGATAATGTGCGAGCGATGATGACATTTACTCCCTCTGCTCCGTCTCTCTCTTGTCTGAGAAATGAGAGATTTACCATCATCGATTCGAGCGCGCACCTGTTTAGCAGCAGAAGCAGCTTTCATCTCTCTCAAAGCAATTACATGATCAAAGACTGGGAGCGCAATCAATGTCCAAAGTAATTGCTCTTACCTGCCGTGCAACTCTGTTAGAAAACTATTACTGCTAACTGCTGTTCTGGTCAACTCAGCAGCAGCCGTCCAATCAAATCGAGGTTCGGAGAATTCAGCCTCTCAGCCTTTTTTGCTTTTAGGATTTATCAGCCGGAATCGGAGCCGAAGATGAGCCGAGCTCCGTCCTTTTGACTTACAGTGTCCTGATTAAAGTGGATTGTAATCTCATCAGAAGTCTGACACACGAAGCTTTTCTGCCCTGCACACGCAGTAATGGAAGACGACTGAGAGGTTATTGGTTATTGATTGATATCAGTCTCATATCTGTATGTGAAATTTGACCACAGAGTCAGTGAAGGTTAGCTGAGCTTAAGGACTGGGATCAAGGGGCATTAGCTTGAGCGAGACATACTGTCACTTATTCTTGAACAAAAGGGTATCTGTCTCTGCATGGCAACCTGCTCCCCACTGATATTCATCAACGAATAGTCAAAGCGCTGTATGCAACCAAAGTGTTCTTCTATCTTACATGTGAATGGATTTAAAGGTCACATATTATGCTTAAAACACTTAACAATAGTTTATAAAACTATTATGTGTCTGTCTACAAAACCCCCTCTTCTTCTTTTGCCTGCTTTACTTTTTAGAAAATGTGTGCTCAAACAAGCCGTTTGGAGATTTTCCCTTCATGACATCACAAAGGGCAGCAACCCCTCCCCCAGGTGGGTGACACTCCCACAGCTAGGTGTTTGTTCTGCCCTCTGAGTCTGCCTTCTCAACGTAAACAATAGGGCACAGAGCGAGAAAGCCTGAGACCCCCAAGACCTTCCAGAGAGGGGGCGTGGTCAGAAACAGCTCATTTACATTTAAAGGTACAGACACAGAAACAGCCTGTTCTGAGCAGAGCTGAAATAGAGGAGTTTATAGACATGATCAAATACAGGATCAGAGCGGATTTAGGACAAGAAACTTCACAGACATGTGTCAGGGAGCTCTGAGACTTATTTAAACTTGTAGAAAAGAGTAAAATATGTAACACATATTCTCCTTCCTTTAAAAAAATCTGATTGTGTCAATTAGAAAAAACTGTATTTCGACCTTAAAGCCCAACTTTTTAAAATGTAAATCTCATAAAACCTCATGTTGCTCTAGGATGCGTTTCTGGTTAAGTAGAAGGTTGATGACATATATTTTCCTAAATATAAAAAGGCGGGAAGAAGACCATGTATGTGTTTGAGTAGGGATCAATTATTTATTACTTTTACCTATCCCAGCAAGCCATCTCTATGACTAAGTCGTAATTTATGTAGTGACCCTTCAAAGAAGGCACATGTTGCTGTGAATACATTTTGATGTTGCAGAAGATAATGGAGATTTGCTGGATGAATTTTCTCTGAACTCATGCGAGGTGGTGGACCAGCGAGGCGTGAAAATTGAAATAAATCACCGCGGACATGACACGCAGTACTGTATGCCCAGGAGACAGCCATTTACAACGGCATCTGTCTCGCGGTATTTGCTGCCTATTATTTGTGATGGGTCAATGTAATCCTTCTTGCTTTGTCGTACCGTGGAAAGACAGAGAGCCTGAAATTGTCCCCCCCCCCCCATCGTGGATCTTTCCTCCGTTACAGCTCACCTTGCATCAACTTATTCTCGTCATGTGAAAATGATTTTGAACACTTCTGCCTTTTCAAAGGGATCGTCTGTCTCGCACAGAGCCTTGGTGTAGCAAATCGCTCTTCATGGCAGGAGACAGTATGAGATTTTTTTTTTGAGGCAGGGCTCATTGGGATTGCCATTTCTTTTGATGTCATGTCATGCAATGGCATTTCAAGGGGGGGGGAAATGTTCCTTTGTAGAAGACAGTCCAGACAGGCAGGCAGCGATAAAGGCAGCTCCAATCAAATGAGACACGTAATTAAAAGTTCTGAGAGGCCCGGACCGGCAAGGTCGGGCTAGAATAAAACAATTACATAAAGAGCAAATCAAGAGATTAACACTTAGAGAAAGACTGATTCACTTAGCGATGACATTGATGTATATGTACTCAAGGTGCATCAAAGGGGGGAACTGTCTGATGTGTAGATCAAGATCAGATGAAGCTGTTTGTATAGATGAAATAATAACACATAATCTGTTTTGACCTGTTTTGAAGGAGAATAATCACATAGCTCCAATAAAACTCTGCCGGTGTCAGCAGTGAACTAGTTATATCCTGGCAGCCTGGGAGACTGTTTAGTGAGAGTTCAAATGAAATCTTCTAGCCTCTTCTGAGACCCTGCTTGTGCAGGCAGAAACACATACTGTATTTGCATACAATTGTGAGTAAGGTAACCCTGTTGTTCCTCAAAATATGT